TCCTGGTGATGGGTACGACCTTGTGAGTGCGAGGTGGTCGTCCTGGTGGTTCGAGGGTCGTGACTGTCGTCCTTTGCTTCGGTTCGGTGGCGGTTCAGTCGAAGCGAGTCTCGACCTAACCTGATACGTTAAAGTTTTGGTGTTTCTGTGTTTTTATTTTGGGTGCTTTGTGTCTGTTCTCATTTTGGATATGTTATGTATCTTATTTTTTTGCGTAATTACATTTCTATCTTTATTTCCTCGTTCAATGCATTTTATTTATTTATCTAGGTATATGGGTATCTATCTGAGTATTTTTCTATTTATGTCTGTCTATTTATGTATCAATTTGCTAACGTCTTTTACATTAAAGGAGTTTTTTATGAGTGGAAAGACACCCTAATCTTTATGCGAACAGTAATGCACAGCGTTTTTGTACTATATGGTTATATGAGGTTAACTGGCATGTCTGATTCTTTATAAGTAAATCTACATTAAAAACCAACGTGGGATTTACATGCACTACTTATATGGGAATATATTCGTGCTCTACTTGACGTTACGAGGTAAATCACTGGTTACTTTTTTCTGAATCTGAATGAAAACGTGTGATTTATTTTGAACAAATACTTAACACTGAATCTCTTAAATACTGTACTAAAATAATCTTGATGTTAGAACAGATACTTAACATTGAATCTTTTAAATGATGTGCTAAAAGAATCTTGATGTTACTATTCTTAATTACACGAAATAAAAAAAAAAAAAGGACGGAGAGTGAAAAATATTTGCCGAGTGTGTGGAAACTTTGCTCCATGAAATTGAGAAGTTGATTAATATTCATATTTAATAGTTTAGCTCTGACGTTACTGAATGGAAAGTTAGGTTAAGTGGGGATGGTATATGAATTTTACTTATGCGAGATATTTTGAAATAAAAAGGTTCTTGCATACTTAGATCTGTTAAGTGTTTACATTTTACAGTGTGTGTGTGTGTATGTGTGTGCGTGTATGCGTGTATGTGTGTGTGTGTGTGTGTTGTGTGTGTGTGTGTGTGTGTGTGTGTGTGTGTGTGTGTGTGTGTGTGTGTGTGTGTGTGGTGTGTGTGTGTGTGTGTGTGTGTGTGTGCGTTGTGTGTGTGAGTGTGCGTGTGTGTGTGTGTGCGTGTGTGTGGCGTGTGTTGTGCGTGTGTGTATGTGTGTGTTTATCCATTTGTTAGCATTAACGGACCATCATTTTCGGCGATGACACAGCACATATTTTACTCGAAGGTGAAGGTGAATGAACAGAAACATATCGTGTTTTTTTTTCACTACAGAAAAATAAAAGCGACGACCACCAAGCCAAAGTCTATTTATACAATCTATTTTTCTTTTAACCGATCGTGCAATATTTTCTTTCGTTGCAGATAAATGTACATTATCTTTTTCTTCTTTTCTATTTTCTTGGCCCCACTACCTTTATTATCGACTGTATTCTTGTTTTTTTTTTCTATTTCTCCTTATTCTCATCTTCCTCTTCCTCTTCTTCTTCTCCTCTCTCTTGCTCCGATTCTTTTCCTTCTCTTCTTTCTATCTCTTGTCTTCCTCTTTTTGTTTTCCTTTTTTCTTCTTCTGTAATTCCTCTTTTCCTTCGTCCTCTCCTCTTATGATTTCCCTCCCCTTTCTTCCCCTATCTTTCGCCCCCCCCCTAGCCTCTGCTCCCTATCTTACTATCTATTCCTCCTCTGTACATCCTTCGCTTCTCCCTCTCTTCTCCCTTCTTCTTCTGCCCTTCCTGCCCTCTCTTTCTCTTCTTATTTTGTTTTCTTCTCCTCTTCTTACTCCTCCTTCTCAGCTTCCACCTCCTTTTCTGTCTCCCTCCACTCTTGTCCCACATGCCTGCTTCCTTCTCCTTCCTTCCTTCCTTCCTCCTTCCTCCATCTCCCCGCCCACTTTTCCTCCTCGTCCTTCTTCTTTCTGCTTCTACTTCTACTTCTCCTCTTCTTTTTCTTCTTCTTCTTCTTTTTCCTTTCTACTTCTTCTTCTTCTGCTCCTCCTCCTCCTTCTCCCCCTCTTCCTCCCTCCTTCTCCATCTCTCCCTCCCCATCCCCCTCCTTCACCTCCTATCCTTTTTACATTGAATATTTTATCTCGAATCTTTACGACTGCACCAAGTTCACGGTCAACCTGAATGCTTGCAACCCTGCATTAAGAATTTACTTTTTTTTCTTATCAGTGTTGGCAACGCTGACCTTGACTTTGTGTCGGTTTTCACTGGATTTCACGATTTTGTTTATCTTAATTTTACGTTAATGCTTTGGCGAGCACAATTATCTGGGATTATGAAAGGAAATGCACGGTAACAATATAAAGTGAAATAAAATAAATATAAAAATCTTGCTTTTTTTGTCTTTTAAGGGAGAGAATAAAGATGGAGGTGAGGTGTTAGTGTTTATAGTGGGTAATAATACTAGTGATGATAACGCTAATAGTTATTGTACATTCGGAAGCCATGAAGTCAGGTATCTTGCAAGTTTAGTAATGATAACATATACATTAATCATTTTTTGTATTCACTGTGACACTAACGAGAGAGGATACTGCATGAGTTGGCATTTTGAATATTTACAAATGAATGTTTATTTCTAAATGTACTCTGTTGAGCATAATAGTATAGTAATACACGTTTTCTTTAATACTGAAATATACCATTTCCCATTTTCTGTAACAGAGAAGTTAGCATCAGAAAAAACGGGAAAAAAATGTCGATGTTATATTTTAAATGCAAAATACATTAAAGAGATTTGATTCGGCTTAATTTGAGGTTGTGTGTGTGTGTGTGTGTGTGTGGATTTTGTGCGGTTTGGTAGATAAATAGATTGATGACTGATAGATGTACATGTGTGTTTGTTTCTCCCTGCCTCAATGTTTAATCGTCCTCTCGCACACACACGCGTGGTTTGGCTATCATTACGTTATCTTTCTTTCATTCCTCTCTCTCTCTCTCTCTCTCTCTCTCTCTCTCTCTCTCTCTCTCTCTCTCTCTCTCTCTCTCTCTCTCTCTCTCTCTCTTCTCTCTCTCTCTCTCTCTCTCTCTCTCTCTCTCTCTCTCTCTCTCTCCCTCTCTCTCCCTCTCTCCTCTCTCTCTCTCTCTCTCTCTCTCTCTCTCTCTCTCTCTCTCTCTCTCTCTCTCTCTCTCTCTCTCTCTCTCTCTCTCTCTCTCTCTCTCTCTCTCTCTCTCTCTCTCTCTCTCTCTCTCTTCTCTCTCTCTCTCTCTCTCTCTCTCTCTCTCTCTCTCTCTCTTCTCTCTCTTCCTCCTCTCTCTCTCCTCTGGTGTGTGTGTGGTTGTGTGTATTTTTTTAGGGAGATGGGGCTGTATGTGCTATTTTGCTCATTGCGTACGCGTTTAAATCTAAAATCCCCAAGTAATCGAAAACACCAACTCTGACCACACTAACTTCACAGCAAACCTAAAAAAAAAAGAAAATAAAAGAAAAAGAAAAAAAAGTTCCGGTTTGTACCTCCAGATAACAATAATTATGATATTCCAGCAAGAAAATGCCACGCGAGTCTTCTGTACTTGCGTTTGAACATGGTAACATAAACCTCGGGATAATCTGACAAAATGTGAGTGATGTGTGTGTGTGTGTGTGTGTGTGTGTGTGTGTGTGTGTGTGTGTGTGTGTGTGTGTGTGTGTGTGTGTGTGTGTGTGTGTGTGTGTGTGTGTGTGTGTGGTGTGGTGTGTGTGTGTGTGTGTGTGTGTTTGTGTGTGTGTGTGTGTGTGTGTGTGTGTGTGTGTGTGTGTGTGTGTGTGTGTGTGTGAGAGAGAGAGAGAGGGAAGGGGGGGAGGGAGAAGGATAGGGTGTGGAAGAAGAAGAAGAGGATGAGGAAGAAGGAGAGAGGGAGAGAAGAGGAAGAAGGAAGAGAGGAGAAGGAAGAGAAAGAAGAAAAGAGAGAAGAGAGAGAGAGAGAGAGAGAGAGAGAGAGAGAGAGAGAGAGAGAGAGAGAGAGAGAGAGAGAGAGAGAAGAGAGAGAGAGAAGAGAAGAAAGAGAGAAAGAAAGAAAGAAAGAAAGAAGAAGAGAGAGAGGGTGAAGAAGAAGAAGGGAGAGGGGGGGGGGGTGATATGGGACTGGATTCACACGGCAAATGCGGAACTGTGAGGTAGCACAGGCGTCTGCGGTTTTCCTCAAAGGGAGCAAGAAAGGAGCTTAATTGTTTTTGTTTTCGGTGAGACTCATCGCCGTCAAAAGGGGGAAAAGATGGTTACTAACCTATCTTCATCTTTGGTGTGTGTCCTCCGTGATGCAGTGATATAAAAAAGATGTTTCTGTCAGATGATTCTCTTGTAAGATTGTGATAACTCCTCACATGCACACGCACGCACGTGCACACACACACACACACACACACACACACACACACACACACACACACACACATACACACACACACACACACACACACACACGTTTGCGTATGTTTATAAAACGTATGTGTGTGTGATCTCTCTTAGAATCAAAATGCTTGTAAATCCGATTTAATGCATTTATATATCGTGTTATATATATATGACTATAATCCCCACGCACATTACAAGAACCGCAATAGCACTGACTCGGAGGAAAACAATCGCACACGACAAACACAAACAAACAAAAAAGGGCACGTGTCAAGGAGGTCTGGTTCCATCTCGACAACCTTAATGGTCATTACCCCACACTCGGTGTTTTATGGCAACTTGGGATAAATTGGCTTTTTTCTGCTCGTCATAAAACCTCAATGAATGAAATGATGATGTTCTTTCCTCTTTCTCGTGTCATGCACCTTAATTCGCATATAAATCGGGTATCGTAGTGGTGATGCACTATCACTGCTACGTAACCCGGTTCTAGCCCAAACCTTAAAACCGGGTTGTACAATCGACATACCTCACGCAGACGAAGAAGATTTTTTTTTTTAAATGGATCCAGAAGACAGCGACAAACCTGAATTACTGCCTAAAAAAAAAAGAGACAACAAAAGGAAAAAAAATGAATAACCTGTAGAATCAAAGGAGAGGGGGAGGGGGGAACGAAGGAGGGAGAGAGAGAGAGAGAGACACGACCCCCTCAGCGAGAAGACGGAGAGCGAGCAACCTGCGTCCTCCCGTCCACACTTCAAGATCACGACTGAAGATGAAGTTGGAGGGAAGGCGACCATCTCCGTACAGTTCCCGACGCTTGGGAAGAAGTACTCTGTCATTTTTTGGCTCTTTATCAAAATAATCTTTAAAATCACGTGTTCTTACTGCATTCTTTCGATTTGAAAATTAGGTGTGCAGTTATTCGGCCTTTTCTTTGGTCTGTATTTATTGGGTTTTGTACTTTTTGGCAGCTTTTGCTTCGAGGTCGGAAGGAAGAGGGAAGAAGAGGAGAAGGGATTAAGAAATCTAATTGTATTTCTTGTTACCGGGGTATTTATTATCTCAACGTTGTCATCAAAATTATCATTATGAATTATGAACATAGATGTTATCATCACTACAATCATTATTATCAGCTCTTTCGTCATTATCATCATTTTGTATCATAATTAACATCAAATATCACATTATCCTTATCGTCGTCGTCATCGTCATCATCATCACTATCATCATCATCATCATCTCCATCACCATCGTCATCATCACTATCATCATCATCATCATCATCATCATCACAATAAAGTATTAACATTATCATTATTAATGTTTTCGTTATCATTACTGTTATAACTATCATTATAATTATACTAATGATAATAATAATACGAACGACAACAATAATGATAACATTAATATTTAAAATCATCACTACAATGATATAGTTAATCATCTTAATTACAGTCACAGTGATAAAGATAAAAATAACGAGAGAATATCAACACAAAGGCAGATGAGGTGTTTCATGGATGTACGATAATAATTGTGGTTTCAGATCAAGGTTAGAAACGAACGCAAAAATAAACACCAGAAACGTGGCATTTGAAGAAGAAGAAAGAGAGAAAAAAAAGAAGAAAAAAAAGTAAAGATTACGGAGAAATATAAGAATTGTTGAGGAAGTGAGATATTTGATGATTAAAATCATTAGAGGCTAAGAAAGGGAAAAAAAAAGTAAATTATACTGACACGGATATGATTTTAAAAGTTGATTTTGATTGCGGTGGATCAAAAGAAGATCGGAATTTATGAATAAAAGGAATCCTATCCTATCTACACGATGGAATGCAGTGTTAGGCCTTGAGCTTTGGAATTGAGGTGCATCTATGATTCAGATGGAAGAAAAAAGACGTAAAATAACAAAAAGAAGACGAACCTGAAATAAACACGAAGAGAAGAAAAGTGGAAGAAAGAGAGGAGGTGGAATAGTACGGATAAGACACGAGAGAACAGAAAAAAAATTGAGCTCAATTGCCATTTCACGTACATTATGATGACTCTCTTTTTTGCACGTTCTTTTGTGCGTAATTGTTCACCCACTCCCTCCTCCCCCTTTGCTTAAAACCCCCCTCCCCCTTCCCCTCTGCCTACCACTCCTTTAGCACCTTCCCTCCTCCCCCTTCCCTTGCTGCCCCCCCCTAGCCTACCTTTTGCTCCCACCCCCTTTCCCAGCCAACCCTTAACTCCCCCCCCCTCCCCCTATCCCTCCCCGGTCAACCTATACCCCCTCCCTTAGCCTCCCTCTTCCTCTCTTCCCCTACCCTTCTCCCTCACCCTATCCTGTCTCCACCACTCTCTCTCTCCTTCCTTCAGTACCTTCCCCATCCGTCCACTACTCTCCCCTCTCTCCGTTACCCTCCCCTTCCCTATCCCTCCCTCCTGCCTCTCCCTCTTCTCTCCTCTCCCCCCCCCTTCCTCCAACACCTCCTCCCTTCCCTCCATCTTCCTCCCTCCTCTTCCCGACTCTCCCATCTCCTCCTTTAAGACGTGATCAGAATAAGAAAAAAAAAAGTACAATAGTTTTTTTTTCGTCTCGATGTCGACGGGAGTGGAAAGAGGAGGAGGAGGGGGGGAGAGGGGGAAGGGGAAGGGTGAGGAAAGGGGAAGGGGGAGGGAGGCTGGTTAGGGAGAGGGATGGGTGGAGGGAGGGGGGGAGAGGGGAAGGGATAGGTGAGGAAAGGGGAAGGGGAAGGAGGCTGGGTAGGGAGAGGGATGGGTGGATGGTGAGAGGGGGAGGGGTAGAGGGGAGGTGGGGTGGATGAATGGATAGGGTAAAGTGGGAAGAGTAAAGATAGGTGGATAGATAGAGGGACAGGGATAGGCAAAGATAACTGAGAGAGAAGAGGGAAAAGGAAGAGAGATAACCAAAGCAGAAGAGAAAGGGAAATACGAATGAGGGAGATAAAAGACGGATAGATGAAAGAAGGAGAACGGAGAAGAAGACTGGACGAGCGAAAAAATGAATAAAAATCCAAAGGAAATAAGAGGAGAAAGAAAAATAAACAAAAAAGGAGAAAAGAGACACGAAAGAGGCTTGGACGAGGAGAAAATGGTAGATGAAGAGAGAGAGAGAGAGAGAGAAGAGAGAAGAGAGACGAGAGAGAGAGAGAGAGAGAGAGAGAGAGAGAGAGAGAGAGAGAGGAGAGAGAGAGAGAGAGAAGAGAGAGAGAGAGAGAGAGAGGGAAGGGAGAGGAAGACTAGACGAAGGATAAGAGGGAGGGAAAGAGCAGACAGGGGGAGGGGGGGAGGGGGGGCGCCTATCCCCGGTGCCCTGAACTTGACCCTGGAATTGTGTTGCTAGACCCCGATATAGCGAACCCGGAGAAGGAAGAAGCGTCACGAGCGGTCTGTCTTCATCCACGCGAGTAGGAAGAGGAAGAGGAGGAGGAAGGAAGAAGGAAGGAGGGAGAAGAGAAAAATAAGGGGAGGTGGAGGATTATGGAGGAAGGAAGACGGAAGAAGAGGAGGAAGGAGGAAGAAAGAAGGAAGGGGGGTGGAGGAACGAGGAGGAAGGAGACGGAAGAGGAGGAAGAAGAAAAATAGGAAGGGAGGTGGAGGAATAAGGAGGAAGGAAGACGGAAGAAGTTGAGGCAGGAGAAGAAGAAAAAGGGAAGGGAGGTGGAGAAGAAGGAGGAAGAAGAAGGAAGAGGAGGAGGAAGGAGGAGAAGAGAAAAGAGAAGGGAGGTGGAAGAACGAGGAGGAAGGAAGACGGAAGAGTAGGAGGAATAATAAGAGAAAAAGTAAGAGGAAGAGCAAGAAAGATTAGATCAACGAAGAAAATAAAATAAAAAACAAAAGAGAAGGAATTAGAAGAGGAAGATGAAAGAGCCAAGAAGATCAAGAGGAAAGGAAGAAGAGGAAGAAGCAAGTAAAACGCTAGAATCCACTGGCAGACGATGAGGCGGGGAGGGGAGGGGAGGGAGGGGGTAAGGGATGAGATAGGCGGGGTGGGTGGGGTGGGTGGGGGTGCGGTGCGTTGTGGGGGGATGGTGTTTACGATAGACGAGGGAGGGGTGGTAGGGGGGGGGGGGCGTGATCTGTTTGGCATTTGATGGATGCGGTTTGAGACACACACACACATACAAGCACACGCTCCCTCAAACACACACACATACGCTCTCACACATATATACGCACGCACACATACAACACACACACGCACGTTCACTCACACACACATACGAACACACACAAACACATACACACATACACACACACGTTCACTCAAACACACACACAAACGCACACACATACGCTCCCACACACACACGCACACATATAATACACACGCACGCCCACTCACACACGCACATACGCACACACACAAACACACACATGCTCACTCAGGCACGCACACACACGATAATACATATGTACGTGTGTGTTACCTCTGAATATCTGCGTGTATGTTTTTTTTCTTGTTTTTTTTTCAGTTTTTATTCCACATTAAAGAGGCGGAACCTTGCCTAAAGGAAATACTTACTTCAAATTTACTTTTTATAAAGGATAATGTAAACGTAAATTATCATCAAATATCCAATAATTTCTGAGGTGTGAAATCGTTTTTTTTTTTTTTTTTTTTTTTTTTTTTTGCTTTTTTAAGAATTATTTATCTTGCTATTAGATGTCAAGGAGTGCGTGATTAGAACTCTTTTAATGTTGACGTCATTTTGCACTCAGCATGCTTTGCAATCACGAAGACATATTTAATCAGTAGATATTTAAATGTAATTAAAGAAGACAGGTATTACCATTTGATTGCAAGCTTTGGCTGAGTATGATATAGCCTATGTACACACATACATACACACAGACATACACACATATACAAACAAACACACGCACACACAAAGCCACACATACACACAAAGACACACACACACACACACAAACACACACACACACACACACACACACACACACACACAAACACACACACACACACACACAACCCCCTATAAAACAATATTAACTTTCATTTTTACAAACTTCACGCTCCTTGCCCCCCCCCCCCACACTTCAAAACACCAAATCATTATGAATCCCCAAAGCTACACAAAAGAATATTCATACGACACGAAAAGATAATACACAAATTGTGATTATTAGCCAAAAGTACAAAAGGTGAAAAAAAAATAATAATAATAATAAAAAAAAACGAAGAAGAAGAAGAAGAAGAAGAAGAATAAGTAAAAGAAGAAGAAAAAGAAGAAGAGTAAGAAGAAGAAGAGGAGGAAGAAGAAGAAAAAGAAGTAAAAAAAGAGGAAATAAAATAAGAGTAAGAAGGGAAGAAGTAGAAGAAGAAGAAGAGGAAGAAGAAGAAAAAGAAGTAAAAAAAAGAAGAAATAAAATAGCAAAAAGCGAAGAAGCTCGTACGTGCTATTTGCTCTTCCCACCAGCCACGTTTCATGGAAGGTTCTTGGTACATAAAACTTGTCGCTTTTTTTCTTCTTCTTTTTCCTTTTCTTTTTCTTAAGCGCGGTTCTGAGAGTCTTATTGTATAATACTGAATAGCTGAGGTTTCTGTGCGATTGATGTAGGTGTTGATTTATTCTCTTGAGGTTTGTACTGTATCACCTTCTGGGATGATTTGTTTGATTTTGAAATTTGAAGACATTTAAAATCCTATTCACTCTATTTCTCTCTCGCTCTTCTCTCTCTCTCTCTCTCTCTCTCTCTCTCTCTCTCTCTCTCTCTCTCTCTCTCTCT